TATAGAGTGCCATTAATTGAATTCATTGCTGGTGTTGGCATTAAAAAACAAATGTAGCAGGTAATTTAGCATATATATATGCTAAATGTACGCATGTACACGTCTAACAGTGGAATAATATATAAATACTATGAAATGCAAGTTCAAATAATTCAAGTTGCATTTGTCAGTGGTTGGGCATTTAATTAGTTTTAATGCAAATTTCAACATAATTGTAAAGATCAAAAACCATGCTAAATATAGTGGAAAAATAAAATAATATAGGCACGTTTTAAATTAAAAATAATTCTAATTTCGAAATCAAGCACTTTCAGTAATGTTGAAATAGCGGCTCAGAATTGTATTGTGAAACAGCCTAATATTTCTAAAATTTTTATTTCATTATTTAACATTGCTGCCTGCAGTTAGTAGTTGCTACTTTAGTAGTTAATTAGCTCGGCAACGCAACAAAAATTTGAAGTGTTCAACTTTGGCGATCTACGCACACATACGAATATAACAATACACATAAAGAAAACAGTTAAAGCAAATAAAGTCTAAAATACTTTATCGAGAATGTTGGCAAATATAGGCTGTGTGTATTTCAGCCGACGATTTTTAATAGTTAAGGTAATAAGAACAGTTATACTGTATGCGGCTCCAATTGGACACATAAAATCGGCGCTAGACACAAAATCATTTGCTAAACGAATAAACGCAGTGCATAGAATTTCTGCAATACGCATGATAAGTGCCTTTCGAGCCATATCATGCGACGCTGCTGAAGTATTAGCCAGTAGCTGGGCGCCCATTGACATCTAGCAAAACCAATTTGCGTGTTTATACCAGCTATAAGAGCCATATACAGTAGCAAAAAGAGAGAAGAGAACTAATGGCATCAAAATGTGGCAGCAAACGATGCAAATTTCATCCAAAGGACGGTGGACCCGCAGACTGTTACCAGACATCATATCGAGGACACATAGACAACATGGATTTCCATCTGACCCAAATACCATACTAAGTGGACATGGGTGCTTTAGAAACTACCTTTACAAATTTCGTCATGACTTTAGTTCGTATTGTGCAGAGTGTATAGAAGACTTTGAACCCCTATTTTACCATTGCCGTAGGTTTTCAAGTATAAGAGAAAATCTGAAAACTACGCTTGGCGGTAGTTTTACTCTAGAAAATTTGACGGCAGTTATGTGTGAGTCCTCTATTAAGTCGAAAGCTGTTAGCGAAGCTTCAACTCTCATTATGACAAGATTGAAACATTTACAACAGATTAGGCATCACTCGGTCCGTACCATAGAGGAGCCTTAAAATTCTTCTTTTCTCCCATGCAGTAATATTATACTTAGTCCAGTAGTTACATGGGAGAGTTATGAGATGGGAGTAGGTTAGGTTTAGCGGATTAAAGCTCCGTATTTCGGCATTCGATGATTTTCCCTACTATACAAAAAAAAAAAATATATATATATAAATATAATATATATTACAAACAAATTGCCATGTATGCTTAAATGCATTTTTACCGCTACACAACTGCATATTAATTAATTTTGCGTTATTTCGTAATTCAATTGGCGTATATTTTAACTAAATTTTACGTATGAGCATACATACATATGTCTGATTAATGTAATTGTGTGGGTTTAAACGCAATTTATACCACAAATCAATGTGCTATTCGCTGCAAATATTAATGTGGAATATTATTGCAAAACACTAAATTTCAGGAAGAAATTATATGATTGTATATAAATATATGTATAAATTACATTATATAAACAATAAATACACGCCTACATAAATGTTCTAGAATAATGTCCAATTTGAGCAAAATTTCATTAGCTACCCGCGAAAAAGTTAGCATGCCCTTTAACATTTTGAACCGTATAATGGTTCCACAACTAATTCACCTGACTCATAATGGATTTTCCAAATTTAATTCTTAATTGAATTTCAGCAGCAAATGTGGCACAATCAAAAATTTAGCTCAGCTCGAGTGCTTGTGGCAATAACAATTTATGTAGGTGCCGACATGCTATGTACTTATTATATAATATTATGTGTTGGCAGTGGCGTGTCATAGCGGGTGCTGCCGCTGACAGGCGAGGTGTTGTTATGGCGTTAACTTAATGCTTGCATATCGAGTATTTGGCTAGTTGATTTCACGGAAATCATACACATATCTAAAGTAAATTAATAAATACTTTTGGATATACATACATATATATATAAATATACATACCATATATTATATATATGCATATATGCTTAAATTCCTCATTTAAACTGTAACAACTATTCGAACTGTTTTATTGCATTTCGACATGCAGATAATTTAGTGCAACTTATATCACAACACCACAATAAATTTGAGCAAACACAGAAATTACACTTTGCATAATAAAAATGCTATAAATTTCGTATGTAACTATATAAATTTTTTGCACTGAAACTATAATACCCTTCACACATACAAAAGTTTCAATACAAGTGCTTGATTTGGTTTGATCAATTTGTATGGCTGCTATATGCTATAGTGGTCCCAAATCGGCGGTTCCGACAAATGAGCAGCTTCTTCTAGCTATAGCGGCTACCAATAGGGACGTCGTGATTTTGACAGCTCGTGACGGCCATGTTTGTTTACGGATTTGTCTCAAGTTTTGTCAGTGTGTTCGGTGAGTTTTGCCATTTCATTATGTCACTTTTCACTTTTGTACAACGCTTGGAAATTGTACAAAATTATTACGCAAATTCACGTTCTCCGGTGGCAACTGTAAGTGGAAATATCATCAGATGTTGCCTATTTCCGGATTAATTGTTTCGTCAACAAACAAAATTGTCGTGGTGGCCATTTGGCCGACATTTTCTTCAAATCGTAAATGGCATAAAATTATCCTCATAACAAAAAAAAATTAAAAAAAAAAACCTATTTCGACCAAATTTGAGTTTTTTATTACATTTACATCGACTCAGTTCTTCCGCTAACAGTATATACTTGTATATATATATTTAATAGAAGTTCCCACGTTTCCTTTTGAGTGTTACAAACTTCATGGCAAATTTAATATACCTTGTTCAGGGTTTAAAAAAATTATTGGAAAAAAAATTACATAAAAAAATGAAAATAAATAATAACATGGAGTATTTTGTAAGGGATACAACACTGCTACCATCAGCTTAACCATAAGTGTATAACTGATTATATTTAATGTTTACTAACTTTTGTTTTATTTACGATATACTATAACGGTACAAATGCATTTCTGCACACAACATTACTATACAGAAGCATTTATTTATATATGAAAATGTGTGCATTAGTATTGGAGTTGCTAGTAGTATCAGCCATAAAGTTGCAGATTGCTGATAGTTGTTGCATTGCTAGCGGTTTTGCCTTCAATAATATTTGCGTGCAAATAAACAATGGTAATTGTAATGTATTTTTAATTGTAAATCATAAACTCTATAATAATACCTGCATATGAGGCGATAAAACATTTCGGATGGGAGTTAATGCACATACATGCATGCAGCTAAGTATATGCAAACGACTGGTAAAGAGCAAAATGGTGAAAGCGATACCAATTAAATTTCAACAACAAAACAAACAGTAGTTGAACACAATTACACATTTGAGTGTGTATTTGCAAAGGCAAACGGCATATCCGGTGATTAACTCACATTAGACAGTAGAAATTCAGGATGTGTAATTAAAAAATTTGTGTAGGCTTGAAAATGTAATTTCCCAATTGTGAGTACGAATGAAAATACAATTTGTTTTTACATTGTTAAAAATTAAATAAACATTTTGTCCATAGCTTTGAATATACGAGTAATTGTAGGACTTAAAAGCCTCACGATCAGCACCTTAATTTAGTCAATGAACACAATTTCTGCAGCGGTAAAGACAAAAAGTCACTCACTTAAGGGAAAGTTTGAACTGCTTGAAAAAAGTTATTAAACCAGCTTAAACTGTGCCTATTCTAAGCTCTCAAGAAGCACACGTATTTTAAAACGATATCTCAAATAGTTTTTAAGTTACAGGCTTCTAAAGTGTAGTCGCTTAGCTCAATTGGCTTCAATAGTTTATCTTTAAACGTACTTTGCTCAAAACAGTATTTTTATACACGGAGCAGAATACTTGTATATTAAGTTTGCCAGGAAGTTTGTAACATACATCAGGAAACTTCGGCGCCCTTATAATATATACATATATATAAATGATCAGCATGACGAGCTGAGTTGATTTAGCCATGTGCGTCTGTCTGCATATGCCTGAACTAGTCCCACAATTTTTGAGATATCGATTTGATATTCTTTTCTCTTCAAGAAGCTGCTTATTTGTCGGAAACGCCGATATCGGACCACTAAAGCCACATATAGCTGCTATACAAACTGATGGAGCGGCATCAAGTTTTTCTAAGCAATATTTTGTTTTTGTAAAGTATAACGTTTAAATGTCTTTTCTTGCCTTTTAATTGTAATTTTTTTCTGCATGATTTCTGAACAAAAATCGAGTTTTGACAGGCCAAAAAATTTTGTAACTTTTTGCAGTTTCTTTTATCACCTATAGGTCATTTTAGCTTTTTAAAATATATCTAAATATATCCGTAAAATTTTAAAACAATTGCTAGTGTTTTTTTTTTTTTTGTAAATTCCTAAAAATCGTCTGTTTTAGGCTGTCACTCTAAGTTTGCCGCTTAAAATTATTATAGAAAACTGTATAATTGCATGATAGTAAAAGTAGCTATATATATTTTTCAACGTAGGTGAGTATTGTAGCGGCACAAATGAGTTACCGTGGGCTAAGAAAAATATTATCATAGAAAGAAAAAACTTTACATATGAATATAATTTTAAGTGTAGTTATGTGATGAAAGCATTAACATTAAATATACATATATGTATGTACATAATTACAGTTACAGTAACTGTCGTTTCTGAATTAAATACTGGCACAGTTATCGATTTTTAGTTAGTTTAAATTGCATGTAAATTTCGCTTACCTCCAACACTTGAACCATTCTGTTGTGAATACAAATTCTGTTGTGCCGTCTGTGGTTGCGGCGGATATAGTTGTGGTGGGCCCTGTGGCGGTGGTGGGCCAGCGCGTGTCGCTCCTGGTGGCACCAACACCGGTGCCGGGCTAACAAGGCGCATCGGTGTGCCTGTACGTGGTCCCATCACCAGCGAACCACTCTGATCGAAAAATGCCGGTATGACCTGGGTACGCGTCGGCGCAGATTATTAACAAGTTTATGTTTGTATTGTCAGCATTGATGGAGATTGTGGTGCATTCAATGAATTCATATTTTTTTGTATTTTTTGTACAGGGTTAGAATATAATTATTTTCATTTTAATTTTGGTTTTTGTTGTTGTTTATGAAGGTTATGCGTTTACAGAAAATAGAAGAAAAAATATATATACTCATTTAATGTAAGTCAAATTATGTACAAACTCATTATAATGATTAAGAGGCATTGCTTATACATATATCTTTTATTAATGTCGGTTGCTTTGGTTAATTAAAAAAAAAAAACTTAAATTATTAGTTTTTATAAATACTGTTCGTTTGGATTATTGTGAAATTTTAACAGCAAAAGTATATTCGATTCGATTTACGAAATATTTATGTGCAATTTTAGTTGTGGTTCATTTTTGTTCGCGCTTACTTTACAAAATTATTTTACAATAAAAAATGTACATTGTAAATTTACACAAAATTTTGCTTCTTTTGCTACTGTCTTTACAATAGTACTTTACAAAACGAAGTGTACACTGTGAAATGACACAACTTATAATAATCATGTTTTTTTTTGCTTTTAGCGCGCTCATAAATTACAGCTTGCTTTTTAAATTTTTTCTTGTTAGTAACACAAACACTTTATTTTGCTACCAATCTATACAAAATCAAGGTAATGATAATATTTATTCACCTGATAGGACTGATTCTCAGCGCCCTGTTGCGATGGCGTCAACGGCCGCCGCGGTTGTGTGCCCTGTTGTGGTATCAGATTGCTGGGGTACATGCCCCATTGTACACCGTAATACTGTGGCATTTGCGCAGTTATCAAGCCCATATAGGGTGCAGCATCTTGTCCTGGATTGATGACGTAGGGAGCCGCTTGTTGCGCGGCATAGGCGGCATTCTGTTGTGCGGCCAAAAATTGCTGTGAGGCGGCCATTTGCGCCATCTGCTGCGGCTGCATTGTGCCATTGGGTGCACCAGGTGGCGCAGCGGATGTGGCAGCTGCGGCAGCAGCAGCGGCGGCCGCGGCATTTGTGGCGGCGAGTCCAGGATTCTGTGAGCGGAAAAGTTGCTGCAAAGATTTAGTAGAATATGTTGTAAGTTTAGTGCATGATTTGGCATTTGGTGGTTATGAATTTTTGAATTAAGAAATAAATTTTTATATAATTTTTATTTTTTAATTCCGATGTTGAGATTAAAAATTAAATTTTAATTTTTTAAGTCCGATGTTGAGATTAAAGCTTAGATTTTAGTTTTTTATCCAAGATGTTTGGGATTAAAAATTGAAAATATTCTTTTTTGATTTGAATGAACGTGAAAAAATGTTAATTCTAAAACAAATTCTTTATACATGTTTGAGATAAATTTTTAAATTTTTTTTTTAACTTTAGTCCCACATACCAAATTTATAAATAACAAAAAAAATTGTAATCCCAATTAAAAATAAATTTTTAATCTGGTTTTTGGGATTACAATTAAAAAAAATATTATTTTTAATTAATAAAAAAAAATATTTTTGAATTTTTAGTCCGGTTTTTGAGATTACAATTTTTTTTTTGAATTAGGTATGTGGGACTAAAATTTAAAATTTTGTTCAATTCGGTATGCGGGGTCAAATTTTTATTTCATTGCCGTAGTGGGGTTTCAAAAAAAATTTTTTTTATTCAAACGTTAATTAAATTATTATTTAATGCATTACTTGCAACCCTTGACGGAATACAATCGCACAATTTTTATGAATAAATTGCATGTGCATATATGCATGAATAACATTTCCGCAATACTTCGCAATTTCTCTCTACTCTAAATGAACAGATATGGCAAACCTCGAAATCACAAAAGAAATCAAGCAAAATTAACAATATGGAATTTTCAATTAAACGCGAAAAATAACTGTGAATTATTAATGATTACAAGGCGGAAAACATGTGTGTAACGAAGATAACTCAAATGATTGCCATATTCAAGCAGACACATACGAACACAGAATACATTCACAACGTTGTTAGCAAAGGCGGGAGTATAAGCAGCATAAATAATCAACTTCGTCGCTCAAGGACACGCACAAGAAATAAGTAGGTATATAGTTATGTAATTGTATTGGTGGCAATAATCGCTTGGGTAGAATTATTCAAACTGAATGTAGCATAAAATAACAATCAAAACCAAAAGTGAAATCGAGCGCGGCAACATACACCACTATACCACCATACCACTTGTGTGTAGTATGTATATTAACAAGAAATTGAAAGTAACACCACAGCACACGAAAAATCATATAACTTTGCGCCTTGAAGTATGTTTTCGAGTAAATAAAATAACCATAATAATTTATTAGCAACAGGCAAACCATAAGGCGATAAAGAGCACACATGTAAACAAACGAAATGAACTGCGTTTGAATTATGTACCGTTATGTCGCGCAGGTGTGGGGCAATATGAAGTGATTTAGTATGTGTGTGTATGTATGCGTGAAAGCATATGTATGCATATGAAAGTTTACACTAACAAAGTGGTATCGTAATATTTGAAACTGGATTTTTAAGTACAAATTGGAAATTTGGTTAAATTATTAAAATTAATATAACAATCACAGTTTTAGTAGTTTCTTGTCAATTAAGAAAAGATTTGCATATATATGTGTATATAGTATATATACTAAGTAATAAAGTGCATTTACGAAATTGAAATTATATTTCATTGTCAATGATTTAGAAGTGTTCCCGGAACACAACCAAAGAACAAAGCAAGCCCTAAGGGAGAATTAACTACGCTAAATGGTAATTTCAAGGCAAAATCGAAATTGAATTTGCGAATTCGCACAAAAGCTGCTGCCGTTGGCATGCTTCGGTCATTTAGTTACATTTCAGCAACAGATGTCACAGAAAGTCATGACCCAAATACAAGCGTAAGTTCAAAAAAATAAAAAATTCTAAGCTTTTCAAAAGAAAAATGATTACAGCCAGCTGAAAGCAAGACAAAGTGAAATAAATCGAAAACAAATTGGAAAGCAAAACGAAATTGAACTCGTGCTTACGCAAAATACTAGCAAATATGAGAAAATTTGGTTTGCGTACATACATACATACATATATACTAGATAGACGAATCTTGAAGAGTTTTCGGTGCAGAGTAAACACCAAAGAAAAGAAAAAATATTAAGTCAACCAAACAGTGAGACGCATTTACCGAAACGAAATACAGTTATTTATATGTAAAAACAAAAATGTGTGGGTGGCACGCCACTGCATGCAGCGAGCACTTAACTCTTTGCATGCATGCGATGTGCCGAAGTGTTCTAACATATTTCTATATTACAAATATATATAGGTGTGTGTGTAAGCAATAAATAGCAAGCGTGACGAAGAGAGCAAACTAATACACAATTCGATTGTATACATCACGATTGCAACACATTTGCTAATTGCAGCGGTGACTTTAATAAGAGCAATAGTTAATAAGCTGAAAACATTACCGGCGTAAATTACTCTACGGTGACACTTTACTTACTAAAGCTTACAAAATAAAAGTCGCATTTAAACGTGTAAGTGGCGTGTATAGTTTGTAAGCACTATGCACACTTATACCATTTATAGTATAACATTTAGTTGGCATAAGCGCTTACAAAGTGTGCGCATACTTTCAGCGACTAAGCGCAGTGTAAGAGTCTATACTCGGTATGTGCGCTTGTGAGAGCACTTTCATGTGCACAAGTTTAAGGACATTTTAATTGCTGTGTACGCGAACAAGTTTAAATAGCACTAAACGAGCATTTTAAAGTGCACTTAATACGCAGCACTCATGCACAAGTTTTGTAGGTATAACTTGCAACACAACAACTACACATGCTGCAATGGCAGAAATGGTATGACAACATGTGCATATTTAAATTACCTTCTGGTGTGTGGCAGGTAGCTGACACGTGGCAACGTGAGCAATGTATTAAAACGACAATTTTAAAAGTTTAGCACAACACTTTGCGACACATGCACAGCTATGTATACATGCATACAAGTACATATTTGAAAACTCAACTCAAAACTGGCAAATTGATGGGCTGTTGGCTTGTAAGCAATGTCAATGTGCATATTGGTTAGCTGCTGCAACCACTTGTCTTCAATCAGCAATTGCTTGTATATTTCGCATCGCCTGGCCACTACTGCTTGCAATGACAAGCAGAAATATCAAAAGTTAATCAGCCTGTAGGCCAACACATAGCTCTGTATGACTTAGAAAAGTTGAAACAATGTCAGTAATAAGCATTGCATACAACATTGCAACATGAAAATCAACAACAATTTGCTATTGCTTGTGTTCGATGTCAACTTCATTATAACTGTGAAACAGGCCGCAGCAGGCATGCACTTTTGAAAAGCTCAAAGCATGAAAAACAGCAATTCATAAGCGCTCTTTTGCTCCGCCGTTTCGCAATTGCTGCAACAGTGGGTGGCAATAACAACACACAATTGTCAGAATTTACAACACAATTGACATAGTTTGCACAATTGATCGATGAAAAGCCAGTTGTTAGTATCGGCGAAAACTTGTTTATCTTGTTTGATTTTACAATTTTTTTATTTTCCACTTTCTTTCATAGAAAATTTGCCTGCTAACACACACTTTTATAAGCCATTAAAGAAAAAAGGTAAGACAATTGTACATGCAATGTAAAAACGCGCATAAATCGAATATAGCAAAAACAATTATTTTTAGCACCAAAGTAAGGCAATCGAAAACGGACGTGCTATGGCAAAGCAATTTCCAACAATACTCGTATAATGCCAACTTGCTTTGAAAATATTGAGCTGCGGTCCATATTTGTGCAGCGATTTGTGAAATGGAAAGCGAAAAGCAAGCAAAAAAATATGCATTATTGAGTAAATAATTGCAATGAAACTTGGCCGATTGCAAGCATGTGGCACACGGTTAATAATAGACAAAGAAAAATTATAGAAATTTTCTTTCATTTAATATAATGAGGATTTTCACAGACAGTATTTTGCTCTATATTGCACCAAATATTTTTAGCGAAAAATATGTCAATAGCTACTTTCTAAATGTCATGGTACTCAGTTAGTAGATTAACACTGAAATATTTTATGATTGGAATACATATTATATCGCACATTTACTGCTTCGGTTAATGCAATCTTTACGGTTTGTAAAATATTTTCGTCGTCCGCAGTTTTAAGAGACCCTTTTGAAAGCAATTAAAAAAAAATCTTTGAGTTTTATATGAAAACTGACGCATTAGAAAATTATTATTTTTTATTTGCTGGTGAACCAACTGTTAGTGGTTATATTACGTAGGCCGGTCTGGCAAATCTGACGTACACTGATGTTAAGGGCTTGCATGTGCTTCACTGCTTCAAAAATAAACAAATAAAAAATAAAAATAAAAAAAAATTATTGTCTTATTTAATTCTATAACATCTCTAGAATATTGTGCTAAATTCTCAAGGTGATACCAGTAATAGTTTTGGAGATACAACCTTGAAAAGTTGCGCGCTCAAGTTCAGCTATATAGTCACGTAGAACTTTAAATGCGTTTTTCTAGAAACTGTGTTTTCAAAAACGGTTGATCAAGACTACTCAAGAACTATCAACGGATTTTAATGAAATTTTACACAGGTGTTTGAGCTATAATTTACAAGGTCATGAGCGAAGGATTTTTTTTTATTGTTCAAGCACAGCTATTTAAAAAAACAAAAATGTCGAGAAATTTTTCACCAAAATTTGAGTTTTTTTGTACAAAACGTCTGCCAAAAATACAAATTTCGCTTGTTTTGTTTTCGCTTCGTCCAATACCTAGTTTATGGTTTTAATTAAAACACGTAATTTTTACTTTTTACTTTTGATTACAGAAACATCAAAAATTCTGTTGTCAACGCGGAGGCATAATTTTTCGTAGGGACTGTCGGAAATGACGTCACAATGGCCGAGTTTTTAATATTTTCCTTTGAAAATTTCACAAAATCTTTGTAAAATACGTAACTTTGAAATAATTATAATATTGAACACATTATTTAATTTTTGAATAAAAAAAAATCATTGAAATTAGGCCCTTTTTTG